ACAAATAATTATATACCACCAAAAATTTGGCGTTTTTTACCAGCTGGAGATGAACTTGTTGATGTAATGGGTAGTCGTGATCTTGACTCCCCGTTGACACAACGTGAGGTAGATGCTGTGAATGAATGGTTATCAACAGATAAGGCATGGCATATAATGCGTGATAGTGAATATCATTATCATGAAATGCTTGGTAAGACTTTTTATTTGTTAGAGAGATAGATGAATTTATATCTGAGAAAACTATGGATTAATTTTAGACTTTGCTCTCAGTTAAATTATATTTTTCAAAATATTCTTTTATTCTAGGTGGTCTGTGGGGTTTTCGCCCTGCATTAGATCGAACATTTTCGAGACAATTACTACGAAAAATGGTCAATCGTACCCTAATTACTATGTATCATACAAACGGTGATCAAGATTTTTTAAAAGAACATGTATGGCCTTATATTCAAGATAATTTTATTGCGCATGACAGTTATAAATGTAATACATCGTATGGAAAAAACTCTCAACCATGGCCATCACGACGACCAGTAGTGAATAGTACGTTTAATAATTGTTTCGTTGGATGTGTTCGTAAGTGTTGTGAACCGTATGCTTTCACACTTAAAGAATGTCCATTGGAATGTCGGCCAAAAAATCATCCAGATTGGTTATGGTGTTAGAAACTATATTTTTTCTTATCTTTTCTTTTTTGTTATTAAATATAAGTGTAAATGAGATATTTTAATTGAATAATTAGTGTAATAGTTGTATTTATATCATTTTCAAACGAATATCTAGTCAAATGTTTATATATTTTATTTTTTAATGCACGAAGAAAAAATAAACTGATTCTGAGAAAGATCTTTAATGAAATTATAGTAAAATAAGTTAACAATAAGTATATAAAGCAAGATAGTCGAATGGCTTCATACATAGGTATCATTGTTCGAATCTATCACATAGTACATTTCTCCTCAACGCCACAGGCAGGATAGACATTAGTTCACCTGGCCTTTCCAGTTTGTGGAGAATATAAAATTAAGAATGATAGGAAGCTGGGGAGATTTCCAATATCTCAACTAGTGCCGTTAACTCATCCTACATTTTTAGTGTTTTTTTATAAAAAATTCTATTTTTTTTCCTATGTATTACAAAACATACTGAAATTCGATATACTTTTACAACTTATTAAATGTAGTAGCTATTTCATTTTATTTGAAGAGATCGAAAATAACTTTACTACATATTATAAAGCAAGATAAATAATCATATCGTCACTATTCGATATTCTCGGAAGAGAAAACCGAATCTGCATGACACAAAAAAACATAAAATTCAAGTTCTCTTCTATTGATCTCTTTGTATGTATCCTGAGTCAGAAATCTTATTCAAAGTTGAAATTATTTTTATATTCTATTCTATAGATGATGTTGTTGTTTGATATGTGTCATGGCATATATACTTATCGTTGTTTTTTTTCTTTCTTTTTTCGTATTCAAAATACTCGTTGAGTCAAGAGATTGACACATGCCTTCCATTAACCACATATGTAGACATTCTCTTTTCTCTCGATTAAGCAAGACTACCATTGTATTTTTAATCGTATATAAACCATTTCATGTAACGACAGAATAACACAATTTTAACATGCAAAATTTTAGAAATCATATTGAAAATTTTTCAACCGAACTTTTACTTGAAATATTTGATTATCTTTCAATAAATGATTGTTTCAATGCATTCTATAATCTTAACAAAAAAATTAATTCTGCTTTATATATATCCGGCTATTCAATTGATTTAACAGTTATCTCTCGACAAAAATTTTACGAATTTTATCAAAATATTATATTCCCAAATTATTCTCAACAAATACGAAAAATAAAAATAAGTAATGATTTAACTATTGGTTTACTTGATAAATTTTTCAATGAATATTATCTTCATGATTTTATACAACTTCGATCATTAACATTAATTAAACCATCATATATAATCTTAGGTAGTATTGCTTTATTAATACCTCATCTTAAACAATTGGAACATATATCAATTGATTCAAATTCATATCCAGATAGTTTTTTTGAAAAAATTACAACAAAATCATCAACAATTAAATCATGTTATTTACCAGGATTACAAATTCAAGATAATTTCACATTCGAATCAAAAATTACATATCTTACAGTAACGGTTGAAGATATAACAATACTTTGGAATTTATTAGCTAGATTTTCTCAGTTGAAATATCTTAATGTTTTTTTACGATCAACTGTAGATGCGAATGAAGAATGTTTACCGGAATTAAATGTAATTTCGTGTAACAATCTTCAAATATTTAAACTACATATTTTAGAACAATCAAGTATTGAATTTAATGAAATTGAATATTTATTTCAACGAATATTATTTCCGGATCTTATATCATTTTCATATGATTGTGTAACTAATTCATTAGATCATTTTAATGTTACTCGATGGAATGACGTTTTATCTAAGTATTTATCTACAATTAAAAAATTTGTTTTACTTGTTCAAATTCCATATAAGTTACCTGTATATATTAATATTAAAGAAGCTCTTATTGATATGCAAAAAAATCTTCATACTCCAATACCATTTTCATTATCAATTGATTATGAGTATTATATGATTCATACAGATATTTATCCTAAGAAGAATTTTAATTTATCATTAAAACCACCAAATTTAAATTTATATTCTAATAATTATGATCCAATTAATTGTGATATAATCGAGAAATATTCAAAAGTAAACTCACTTGTTTTAGATTGTAATTCAATTTTACCATGTACTATATTATCAAAAAATATTAAATATTTACAAATACAAGGTTATAATGATAATTTAAATCTTTCGAAATCTCTTAAATATTGTTCAAATCAACTTCTATCATTAAAAATATGTGGTTTACCCAATGATTTACCACATATGTCTAATCTTCGACAATTAACAATTCAACAAATTATGTTTGATTTAAAAATGGTATCGAAATTAGAATTTATATGTCCTCGTCTTGAATTACTTACAATTGAAATTGATTGTATTAAACAATTTGGAAACATATTAGATCAACTTCGATATAAATCTAACTTAACTGAACTTAAATTTATACGTGCCTTTTCGAGAGATCCGATACAAACATGGTCATCTTGGCTTAATGAAAGAAAACAAATAATTCCTTCTGATAATAATATAGCCTACGAAGCAAAAAATTCCTATTTATTCATTTGGTTTTGATAGCAAAACAAAAATACTGCATAGATAAAAAAAAGAGAAAACAATATTTAGATCCATTGTGGATAATTTTCATCAATTGGAATTAAAGAACTACGACGTGGAACAATGGAACGTTTAGTTGAATGTCGTTGTCGATTGGAATCTTTATTATTGTACAGAAGACGTTTCAATGGTATGATATCTGTTGATTGATGTTTATTTCGACGTGGTGTTGATGTCAGATAAGGTTTAAGTAAAATATTTTCATTTGAAGAAGTTTTCGGCGTACTTGTTAAAAATAGATTTTTTTTT